GGGGGGGGTCATATGCGATCGTAAAACTGTATTTCGATTGAAGTGAAGAAGCAAAAAAATTTTTCTGATTCAGTTGAATGAAGTTGAAATTGACCATTTCTTTCAGAATCTTCAGCCAATGAATTTGTATTATTCGAAATAGCTAAAGCAGCATCACTGAGTCTTCTGAGGGAGTGGACTGTTACTGAGGCTTATGTCGTCGAAGATTGCTATAAATACATTTTAGAATACGTTGCGGCAAGACCAAAGTTTGTTATATTTTTATGGTGTTTTGTTTATGTAAAATTTTACTGCATAGGACAGAAACTTTCGTTCGACTAGTTTTAAACTTTCAGCTTTTTCAAATCGATTTTAATTATGACATTCAAATTGTTTTTAGATTGAACGTGAACTAAGAGTATTTAATTATTAGGGTATGAAATTTGTTACTAATGAAATTGCTCTTAACTCTGGACTATTTCAACTAGATATGCTAATGCGTTTCAGAGTTTTCATTGGGAATGTTATACATTATTGAAAGGATTATGATTGAAATGGTTGGTGATGGATGAATTACGGTTCAATGAATTCGATTAATGTGAACCTTTTTATTCAAATCATCCGAATTCTTAATTAATTTAGATGATTCTTTTCAGTTTGGCCAACTTCGTTAAGCGAGAACTACTCGTTTGTTGTGCGAAAATTTATAAACGTGGAATATTCGACCATAAAGTTGGTGATATCGATTCACTGTGCGTAACTGTTGAACAGCTTCTTTCCAGTCATCAGGAATATTTGCAAGGATTGGGCTGTGAGCTAATCGAGACAACTGCAGCCGAATTTTTTTCCTCATGGCGATCGTCTGGTTTTGGAATAACATGGGATTTTCATTTACGGGCCAAGCGTGCTTTTGAGGTGGTGATAATAAGATGGAGTTGTTGCATGCTTACTTCGTTTGCATTTCGTTCTTATCATGCAGAACTCTTTTAGTTTAAATCTGATGTATTTCCATGACATGTGCCAGTTAAAGCATCAGACTGCTGATTCATTAAAGATGTTGCGCAACAAAATGTAACCTCTTATTGTTCTTTCAGACAAGCGGTCTCAAGCGGCTCTTCGAACTGTCGTTGCGTATGTTACAGCATGTGGCAAATGCGGATTTGACAGCATCATGTTATCATGTGACCAATTATTTTATTCTGATAAGCACCATTCGAAATGAATTGTCATATTTATTCAGTTATCGGATCACCATAAAAGAATGAGCAGTTGAGTTACTTCCTCTCCGTGCAGTTCTTTTCGAATTTTCAGATGAGCTTATGTGACAAATTTTTACGGGTCGCTGAAATTGTTTTATCGTGGAATTTTGCATCTCGATTCCTTCCACCGAGACTAACGTTCTGCGTTGAAATGAGTTCTGGCGGTGCGCTTCGACCACCAATTACTTGGAAAGAAATCTTCCAAAATGACGATCTTCTCAATCTCTTCTTTCAGGTTTATTATCTTATTAATACATTTAGGATGACTGATATTCACAGTGAAGCAGTACATGCGCATTGTCATTCGAATTTGAAGCAGAAAAGGAAGGCAGTGAATTATTTTGGTTAAATTGGTGTTCAGATTGTTTTAACTCTTTGCAGCTGCATAGACGCGTGAGAAGTGATGAAACACTTTGCGAGCGTTCAATGAATTGTCTCGTTCAATTATCGTCATTGATGGGTGACGTTTTGAATGCTTCTGAAAATGATACTCATGATCCGTACGATCACTATATGTTTCTATATATTCGTAATTTACTTGAATTATTCCAAAGGTTACTGATTCACTCTTCTTTCCGCCTTTTGCCATCTTTCTTTTCTTTCACCCACACAGATTGATGGTCATATCAAAGTACGTTGATTTGCTTCATTTTTTGAACTATACATAACATTCTTATTAAAATATTTGGTCGAAATTGCAGTGGTCCGTTGCCAAACGAAGTGACTGGTTTTTGTACAATTTGGTATAAACTCTTTAACTTTCATAAGTTGCAAACGTTTATACGATTCGATGATGCATTCCTTTCAACAATGTTGAATTATATGACCCAGTATGCTGAGCATCTAGCACCAATTGCGATGCACAATTCATTGGTTATTAGTTTTGTTTAATCATATCAACAATACATATGAATTATAAGATGAATGGTCATTGTTGTGTTGAAGGTGGATGATGATGATTCATATCGTGGCGCACTGACGAACCTCTATGAAGCATGGTTGGTGATGGTACGGGGATTTGAACGTACTCAAAGGAAAGGCTTTTTAAAAGACTACACCGTACGAATACTGAGCTCTTTCATGCGTACGCTTCTATCCGAACCTGCCGGACAACGTACTGATGTAAGTTCACTTTTGGCTATTGCTTTCCGGCCATTGATCTCCGTTTCACTTTTTTCATAGTTGTAATCTTCTAAATTACTTGTTTGTCCTAATATCGATTATATAATTTTTATCATTTGCTTGAATATAAGTAGCCGCTTAGAAGAGAATGATGCCACACAATAGGTCGTCGCTCTCACTGAGAATTATTCCGTTTCGAATGCATCATGTGGCATTGAATAATTGCTAAAAGCACCAGTGAATTCAATCAATCCATCAATGACAGATTTCATCAACTGAATGTATGCAAGATTTCGAGTTGGATGATCGTGATCACTTCGCTGACACACTGAAATTGATTGGTCATTTTGCTGGGCATTGCTTGGATGTGTTCTTACCAATGCTATATTCGTGAGCACTTCATTCATTTGCATTTTCAACTTGCTTGAAGATGAAGAGATTCGTTTGAAATTCACTTCTTGATTTTAAATAAATTTAAGTTGCCACTCAGTCTTTTTCTGCTTCAAATTAGCAATGCGTTATTTGTAGGATTTTGAAAAGTAAACTGGAACAGTTTTATACATTCATATCGAATGGGGTTGACGAAAAAACAATGGATGCTTGGCGAGAGGATATGCATTGGATTTTGATTCTTTTCGGTGACTATTTTTTGTTTTAGCGTTTCTCTTTTTTAATTCATTATGCACGTCAATTGCTCAAAAGAGTCACTTAAACATATTGAAGCTATTTGGAATTAATGTCCACTTTGATAATCTTTTGTTTAGATTTATCCTCATTCTGTTTATCTTTTCTTATTCATCCGTTTAAGCAAGGATCTTGTTGGTTTTGAATAGTAACGAAATTTATGCAAGAATCTAACGATCGCACTCGTTGAGTTAATGTTTTATCTGTTTAGGATATATATTAACGGAAGCGGATGATGATGGTAGTTGTCATTTGCCAGCAGAGGTGTGTGACTTTTGTATAGCTGCACCAAAATCAGTGAATGCGGGTTCACCGTTCATCCGTGCTTGTATTGAGAATCCACGCTCAATTCCAGATGATTTATATGTTGATCCTATTTTAAAGTTAGTTAGTTTCTAACGTTTGGATAGCTGAGTTAACAACAAAGATTTAAATTGGAATTTTTTATTTCATTTTTGAACGGTTTTGTTCATAGTGAAAATGGGATCAAAAGAAGCATTTGTTGAATGTGCTAAATGTGTTTTGCTACAGAGTGACTGGAGTGATATTAGCGTGGTGTTCGTTAGAGCATTCGTTACTGGTTGAGGGTGGTGCGAATATGGTGAGTCCCGAATTAATGAGGACTTCGTTCTGGATAACCAGACGGTTATTCTCCGCACTGAGTGTACCACCAGATAACAGTAATGAACAAAACTCTTTGATACCCATGCTTGATATTAATAACGAATTCTCCACTTTTCTTGTCCAATTCGTCTTCCATAAAACGTTTACCGTTCTCGGCAAATTGTCCGGTGAAAAAAAGTAAGTATTACTCATAATATCATCATTATTCAGTTCATATTATCTTCTTCATATTTATTCAAACTCATATTTGTCTTTCTAGAATCTATGCGTCATTGGGCTGTTTAAAGCAGTCAAGCTCTTTGTGAGATTTGAAGATATTTTGGTGGTCGCGTTTGTTGATGTCGAAAAACAAAGTTTGTATGAGCGTCTAGCAAGGAACTAAACGTTTATTGTTTACCATGTTCAAATAAATGAATTATTTAGGTTATGTAAAGATGCATCCGATTTACTGTTGGCATTAGTAGATAGCCGTGCTGCGGAAATGGCAGCAAATGATTTGTTATATATATCCTTATCGCACATTCAACTGGATAAATTACCTGTACGACGATCACTTATTCATACACTTGTCTTGATTGGTGCAGCGGCCGATGATGAGCAAATACGACAAAGAATGTATTTATCGGTTGGTTTCGTTGAGCATTTATTATTTAGTGCATTAATTTTACATATTGCGAGCAACTTCTTAGTGTGTACAATCATATGCCAATCGTTCAGTGGCATTATGAAATATAAATCATCCATATTTGCAATTTCATTTCAGATTCTTGAGCCTTTGTCGAACAAATTCGAAGAACTATGTTCAAATCCGATGAATAACGAATCGAATTTGGCTGATTTGTTGGACTGTTTCTGTGGTGTTGCGCTGGCATCACAACGTCATTCTGCTGCAGTCTTATTTAGTCAGTTCTACGTGCATTTATGCTTTCATCTTTAATTCAGTGATTCATCCTTTGTTTATATCCAGAGCAAGTCTCCGATGACGGGCTCTCAATCAAAATGTTTGAGTATGTTGAATCTTTAACGAAGACTTTATCTCGTTGATCAATCAAGTAAGCCGTTTATGGACGACTAATTATGATATGGAAATAAAATAATGCGGAGGTGTTAAAGCCTTAACTGTTGCTTTCGAACGACGATTATCAGTGCAAAATTATTGAGTCTCTTTTGTTCATTTACAGGGTTTATTGCACCGCTACTGGGACGATGTGTCAAAATGTTTTCAGCAAAGAACATTTCACTTGTTTTAACGAATGCAATTCTTGATCTCTTTGCTGTAGCTACGCGTAAACTGATGCTTTATATAGATCAGGTGGAAGAATCACAGTTTTGCTATGAGGTTTTCATTTTTTAAATATTCTCGTTGTGAACTTTTGCAGCATCTGAAAATACTAATCGATGAATGAAAAACTTTCGTTCGTACTTAGTTCATTTTTATTATAAATTATAATCTCTTGCATAATTAAGTGTACTTGTATACTCAGTTTATATTTGCCTGTGTTTTTATGAGATCACAACGAGGTTCATGTAGAAAGATTCATGAAATTTGAGATTCTACTTGAACTGATTCAAGCTTATCGTCGCGAACAATTGGAGAAATATCGCGAGGTGGATATTGATCAGGAGGATAAAGCAACTGATTTACTTCTTTTGTTGGATGTTTTAGCGAATATTATGAGTAAAGATGCTCTTTATCCAGTTGATCCTACCGGTGAGCTGTACTTTTGGTTGTGCTAGTATACTCAGATTGATTTTATTTTCATATGCTGATCTCAACTTGTGATGGGTTTAAATTGATTGGTTCTGTGTTGAGTTTGTACGCTTGTTGTTGAGCATATCAATGAAATTAAGTAATTCATTAGATGTTTGATTGATTCAACCGCGAAATGTTCATTTCAGAAGTGCATAGAGCAAATGGTGCAAGAACAGCATTCCTTGGTCTTGAAATGCTACTTCCGTTGATGGATGAACATCTCCTTAAGTTTCCTTCTATTGCCTCAAAGTACACAATTTTAATTCTTTGAATTTATTTAAGATAGCTATTTAGTGCTTAAAACTTGCGATTTGGTACTTATGAGAAACTGAAGTGTTCAAATATTTGCTTTTTTTTGTATGGAATAAATTTAATTAGGAATGTCGCAGTTTACGACTGATATATATGTTAAGGCTCAGCTAACACTTCAGTTTCATTTACTTTTTGATGATTTTTTTTTCCTTAAATTCTGTTTTTTTTTTCCCTATTGATTGTATGTGTAAACGTTGATTCTCGTCCTTATACTAAACGTGATTTCGCATAATCGAGAGAGTATTATTTAGTAACAATTTTTACGATCATCTGAAATCGAAAACGTTTTCAGTACAAGTAGAATTTCAGATTTTATAATTTACTGCTTTATTTTGCTGAAATGGCACCCGAATATTTCAACGTAATATCAGAAGAAATGTTCTTGTCAATTATGGAGTGTCTTCGACATGGTCTTCAGTGTCTTCATGGACAAGAGGTTTTTATGCGCTTTTATTTTTGCCGACTTACTTCGTCACATTATTCTTTCTTTCGTATGTCATTCGAAATTTGCATTGCGTGTATTAATGTATGTATGCCGCTTTTAGTTCTTATTTAGAATGAGATTGATCATATATTTTTGTCACTTTCTGTTTGAACGGAAGTTCCTCATTTAATATTGGTTTACTGAGCAAGTTGACCTGGCTCATTTCCATTCAGAATTGATCCGGTAGGTGTATTTTGATGATGGCTTCCTGCGTAAAAACAACAGAGTGAAGCTCTCAAAGAAGACGTCTCTAAATAATCATTGATTTTAGTCGTTACTTCCATTGTCATTGTGTTATGTTTCATGCAAATACGATTAGTTGCACCATTGTTTTATCAAAATCCATTCACTTAGCTGCAATTCAGGTTGCCATGATTTCCGTGGAAACGCTGAACGAATTAGCAAAATATCATTCACAAGATCCTCATCCAAGACCTATTATCATAATGCAATTATCATCTCTCATCGAGGTGACAACATCTTTCTTTTACCATTATTCTCTAATCACAATTAATCTGGGCTTTTCAGTGTTCTAATGAAATGTTTAGTCTTCATTTTGGAAATGTTATATAATCATTACCATCCGATTCTAGACGGTAATATGCATTCGGATGTTACGCCAACAGGAATTTTGCTTTGAATGGGCGTAATGATACTGATTGCGGGAAACAAATTTGTTTTCTTTCAGGACATGTTCGTGATGTGCCTTGAGTTTTCTTGCCAAGTTGATATGCTCAACGAGGCAACATTTGCGCTTTATGCACTCATCTGTTGTAATCGAGTAGGTTTTTCTTTAAAAGGATTTGTTAATGAGTCAAGAGGGCGTTTTGCATGTCATTGAACTGTTTCTTTTTGCAGGCAGCGTTCGAAGCAATGGCTATGAATTTATTAGCTAAAGAGCAGAACGCAGTTGCTCGCAAT